CAGATACTGTACTGAATCATATTGTATCATAAGCTGTAACACTGGTACAAAATATCGAGTATCGGAATGAAAAAAAATCGATACTCAGAAAAATCGTACCTTACCGTGCATCTCTAAATTATATGTATATTCCAATACATCATGCATCGTGTAAATAATGTAAATGTGTACCATTTAAATGTCTGGTTAATTTTACATATTTACAGTTTAGGGTATTTTTTAAGAAATAATGAATATTTTTGTGATACAGATACAATTTTCTAGGAATTTTATGAAAGAAAATATAAGTAAGTGTAATGAGAAATTGCTAAAATTTCTCATCCATTCAGAAATCACGAACATTATAATTTGATAAAATTAATCCTTCTCACTGTTTGTCTCCTACTTCTTCTAAATAAATTATTTATTAAAATAATAATTTTAATGACTTAAACAATAAAGTTGCAACACAAATATTTTTGTAGCATTTATTAGTAAAATACAATAAATATACACATATGAAAATAAGTAAAACAATATAAACAAAAATAGGTACTTATATATTTAATCAGAATCACGAGCTTCCGCTAATTCAAACCATTCTCTGTAAGGCTCCTCCAGGTCGTGGAAAGTTCTAAAGTTTATAATTACCTAGAAAATAATAATTAATTGAATTAGACTCTTAACCTGGGTTGTAAATAGGTACATCTCACCTGCCCAATGATGTTGGAATTGAAGAACATCTTTTTACTTTTTACAGTTAGGATTAATTTAGACCTTGATAGCTCAGTTTGTGTCAGTAAATATTCAAAAGTTTCCTCAAAAACCGGATCACAGTTATCAGTAATTACCTAAAATTGCATTAAATCAGCTGAATATTTATGTGGACATAATGTGGACATTTGTAAACTGTTATGTTAATCGTCGTTTATAGTTTTACCTACCTTAGTTTTATGTTTAATACTGTGGGTCTCTGGAGTTATCAACTTCAGTTTTACATAAGGATCTGGAATGTCGCTTGCATCTTTCAGTAATAAATTTCTGGAAGAGGAAAATTGTATAAGCAAATGTAAGATAAACGTCTACAAATCTTACGTGATCTTGTGCACAGTAACTACCAGTTTTTGTCTTGCTTCGCTGTAGAACAGTGTTAATTCCATCTGACCAAGGTCTGGCTTCCTGAAATTAGCGCAATTTCAAATATTTAATTTGTGCCGTTTAGTTTATCAAACAATTTTAAATACATTTTCACAGAATTTGGTAGACGTGACNTGATTTTAACAGATAAACATTCTTGTTTTCATAATGTATGACGTTTGAAAAAGTTTTAATTGAGTATTTATGATAATTAAGGTATAACAGAAAATGCCGAGACAATAATTTCTCTAATACAGAAATGAGAGATATGGTTACTATTTACTATCAACGGACGTACTGCGAAATGGGAATATTTCAGAAGATATCCAAACAGGCTGCAACCTAATCATCAAACATTTGAAAATCTATTTAGAAATTTAGGCGAAAGTGGTTCATTTCGTCCTAAACATGATAATTTAGGCCGGGAATCATTACGCCTGATCAAGATGATGAAATTGGTTCACGTTGCAAATGATCTTCAAGTTAGTACAAGAAGGTTATCTTCAGCTTTAGGAATCAGTAAAACTTCAGTTTTAAAAAGACATCTCGATAAATATCCGAAATAGGCAAAATCTTGACCCCACCTACCTTTATTAATAGAATATTATTTACGGACGAGGCAACATTTAGTCGCCGTGGTATTTTTAATTTAAGAAATAATCATATCTGGGAATTTGAAAATCCTCATTTTAAAAGAGAAAGATATTTTCAACACGAATTCAAAATAAATGTATGATGTGGGATCATTGGTGACCATTTTTTAGGGCCATATAAAATCTATTTAAAAGGTCACATTGAGGGATACCAATAGGTGGATAATTGCCATCCTCTCTAAAAACTGCAGCCTTTAAGAAACGTCTCTGAACACTTTCTATATTAGTTATGTAAATATTATAGTAGGGTGACCACACAATGCAAGAATACTCTAATTTAGATCTAACAAATGCTGAATATAATAATTTAAAAGTAGAGGAATCATTAAAATCCTTAGAGCAGCGTAGTACAAAACCTAGCATTTTAAAGCTTTCGTTCGTAATCATATTAATATGATACGAAAAAGACAATTTACTATCAAATAGTACACCTAAATCACGGATGGTATGTGGCCTGGTAAGAATAGTATTATCAATACAGTAATCAAATACAATCGGTTGCTGTTTGAGAGAGAAAGTCATGACATAACACTTTTTAATACTAAGCTGTAAGTTATTAACACTGCACCATAAAACAATTTTATTTAAAGCATATTGTAAATTTAAACAGTCATTTCCACTACTTATACTAGTATAGAGCTTCATGTCATCAGCATATAATAAACAATTAACATCAGTTCCAACCACAATATCATTAATGAACATATTAAAGAAAAGAGGACCAAGAACCGATCCTTGGGGTACACCAGAAGTAGCTACAAATTCTTTCGACAGCCGACCATGATATTCAACAAATGCATGCCGATTTAATAAATAAGATAAAAAGAAGTGTAGTAAGTCCTTTGAGAAACCGAAACTATTTAATTTAGTCAATAAAACACCATGATCAAGCCGATCAAAAGCCTTTGTGAAATCGGTGTATATTACATCTACTTGCGAATTCGAATCAAAAACACCCGA